CGCGCCACGGGGGAATGAGAGACCTACATGAGTCCAGCTTTAGTTTGTCTGGTACAGTAGTCTGCATTAAATCTTAACTAAAAAAGTACTATACTTGACACTAAAACACACACACACACAGCAAAAACATATATATATATAGGTGATCAGAAGAAATGGACAGCACCTGAGTTAAATATATGAGTGTCACAGCAAAGGGTCTGAATACTTAGGACCATGTGATATTTCAGTTTTTCTTTTTTAATAAATCTGCAAAAATGTCAACAATTCTGTGTTTTTCTGTCAATATGGGGTGCTGTGTGTACATTAATGAGGAAAAAAAATTAACTTAAATGATTTTAGCAAATGGCTGCAATATAACAAAGAGTGAAAAATTTAAGGGGGTCTGAATACTTTCCGTACCCACTGTATATACCATGCCATATACCATTTTCTCCAAGGAGGCAAGGGATGCAGTGCCTCTTCAAACAATTGGATGAGAATATAAAATCGTAGAACAAAAATAAAACAATGCAAATATTACAAAATATGACATAAAAATAACTTGTTTTTCTAAGGTAAAACTGTCCAACAGATACACCAGCGGGTAAAGTTAAAGCGGGAGTTTAATAAGTTTATTATTAAAAAGAACAGCTGAACATCAGTTCATAAATAAAATGTATAGGCTAATTGTTTAAATAAAATATATTGTTTAAATGGTTATTGCCTTGAGTTATTATTTTGGAATAAATGCAAAATGCTTAAAAACACTATACTGACGAGACTTGGTTTTAATAAATAGAATAGCTTATTATTGTTAATGGAAAATCCAAAATAGATTTTCTAATAAATTCTTATGATAGTGTAAGTAATGTTTATTTAAGCAAGAAAATGTGACTGAGACATGAATTTACATTTATTTAAAAAACAAAACAAAAACTTTGTCTCCTCATTTCAAAACACCACTGCACGCCATATATATATTTGCATAGCCTATTTATAATGCCAGTACAATTCCAGTTAAATATTTTTCATTGACATTTTCCCTGAAGTTTTTATTGTAATACAAAAAAAGTGTCATTCTCATTCTTGTTTTAATTACATTGTTAAATATGTTTTGATATATATATAATTAATATAAAATTGTGTAAATCTAAATTTAAAAATAATATAGAAATATATAATGTGAATGAAAAATACATGAATTTATAAACTATGTAAATGTGTTTATTTACAATTACAGTATATGTAACCTGTGTTGCTCAACAGTCTTTATTTTTTGCTAGGTACCCAAATTGATGAAAATGTTCCAAAGAGAGCGTCCGCGAGGATTCTGGCGCCACCTGGTGGTCGTTCTAGTGGGATCTGGTAACATTTCGGATCAACAATTGCGCAAGTCTGCAACTGAACACCTACATTTTTGACAACCTCACATCTAATGAAAATGATTTAATTTTAATCACTTGCAACTAAATTCCTGTGTTTTTTTATATATATATATACTGTATGTGTGTGTACACGAGGGTAAAAATATATTTGTGTGGAAATTGGAAAACAAGGTATACGTTGGAAATAGTTGTAAGAGATTTGGTAATCCAAAATGTTACAGGGTGTTTTGTTCTTCATATTCAGTCAAATGAAATAGTGAAGGTTGTGTTCAAATGCAACACTGTTGTAGTGCTAAATAAATGACGGATCCTTTTACTAATTGTTTTTGTTACCACATTAACAACAGTACGTTTTACGTAAGCTGTCGTTTAACCCATTTTAAAGATAGCAACTGCAAAGTTGTTTAAGAATGGGAATGTTATTAGTTTGTGTATTTGGTCATGGCTTGAAAATGTGAACCATTGTAAAGTTATTTAATATTTTAACTGTTTTAATGTGTTGGCAGATGACTATACATTTACCTCAGTGTTTATCTCTGGAGTTACACTTTAGCACTCTGCCTCTCTACACTTACAACTCTTACAGTGACCAATTGGCAACACTTTCTGACAGCAGGTACAAACCAATTTTTGCTTTGTGTCGAGGTGTTAATATTTGTTCTTATTTTTATTATCTTATTTTTAACACTCACAATTTAAAGGCAATACAAGATATTTGATTGTTTCTCTTGTCATATTTATAGTTTTAGTTCATGACACAGGTCACTTGTATTGCTTATACATTCAAAAAAGTAATTTATAAGAAGCATTTTCAATTTTCCCAATGTCGTTTAGAAGCACAAGTACCTGACCTTCTAAAATGTGAATTAAGAATAACATTGTTTACAATGTTACATATCAAATTTAGCTGTGTAACTAATCTAAAAATGTATTGATCTTTCATTTTTCGCTGACCAGATTTTCTTTTTATCTACTAAGTCTACATTCCCTGTTAGTGTTACAGGCACTCACGAGTTATTCTTCATAACAATAGCATAATTTTTGCAGTGTAGCTTTATGTCTATTCTAGAATTAACTGTTAGCCGAACACTGAACTGTAACGACAGTTGAATTCCATCAGTTGTTCACTGAACATTAAAGGGTTAGTTCACCCAAAAATGAAAATTAGCCCATGAATTACTCACCCTCCTAGCATCCTAGGTGTATATGACTTTCTTCTTTCAGACGAATCCAGTCAGAGTTATATTAAAATTGTCTTTGATCTTCCAAGCTGTTTAATGGCAGTCAGCAGGTGTTGCAGTGCATCAGTCCAAAAGAAGTGAAATAAAGCGCATCCATCCATAATAAAAAGTGCCTCACACGGCTTTTGTAAGAAAAATATCCATATTCAAAACGTAATAATCACTTTAATGTAGCTTGCGCTCACTGTTGTACATGGAAGCAGCTCCGGGCGGATGACGTATCGGCTTTGCGCATGCGCCGCTCAGAAGTGACGAATGCTGAAGCGCAGGGGAGAGATCAAAACAAAACAACGGTCACTTTATTTCTCTTCTTTTGGACTGATGAACTGCAACACCCGCTGACTGCCATTAAACAGCTTGGAAGATCAAAGTCAATTTTTAATATAACTCCGACTGGATTCATCTGAAAGAAGGAAGTCATATATGCCTAGGGTGGCTTGAGGGTGAGTAAATAATGGGCTAATTTTCATTTTTGGGTGAACTATCCCTTTAACACTGTGCATTGGTGAATATTGATCTGCATGTTCCAAAACAAGTCAGAAAATTTCTGCTTCACTTCTGATCAACACTAACCAACCCTGTTAAAAGACACCAGACATCTAACTGAGGCATGTGTTCTTTTTGTACATGTGTGTCTAAGCACTTGAAGACCTTCTGTAGAGACCGTTCGAAACACAGTAACTTTAGCTGTACAATGTTCCAGTGACACAAGCAGTAGAATGGCAAGAACATTTCTGTTGGTGCTGAATATTCATGTCTTTTTTTATTCTGGATTTTCAGTATGCTTTTCAATTTTTTAATATGAGCTGTGTATGCACTACAGTTGTACGTATTAACATATTATGTTTATCTCATGAAAAAGTGCAAATAAAATCCCTTCAACCTCATGACTGCATGTATCATTGAATAAAATGCAACATAGAATATTTATATACATGCTTATAATATTTACCAAATACACTTTATAATTACGTTATTAAATAACTATAATTCATTAGTAGTAAGTTAAGTTATTTCAATCATTTTAATATATTTCTTTTACAGTTTTTTCAACTGCTTACACACAAAATCTTTACTTGTCACACAATTTCTGAAACCTGACACTCTTAACACCAGAACCACACACCAAATCTGCAAAACTACTAATTCTCGGCCTTTGACTCAGTTTTCAATTTCATAAAACACTTTTTTGCAAAACACAACACACAATTCTCTATGTAACACACAAAAATCTAACAGGAAGTATCTTGATTTCCTTTTTCAAACACAACCAAACGAAATGCCAAACATTCACCAGTGCCTCACACACTAACTCCTCACATTTGCTTTACTTAACAACAACCAATCATGGCTTTAGAATAAGCCTGAATACACAACTACACATGGTTGATGTATTTCTTTTCTTTTGTACTGTGTAACACGGTATTCACAACCACAAATGCTTACAGTAAGAAAAAAAGTATGGTTTCAATCTTGCTTTTCAACATTTTTCAATATCTCTCTCTGCCAATTACTTTCAATCTTGTACAGAAATGTACATAGGAGCTCATAAAAGAAGAGCTTTAGGTTTTGAATAACTGTATATGATATATCCAAAAATATAATATGGTAAAGGTGTTTGCAGCGTAAGACAAATGTTTGCTTTTGAGACGTTTTTGTGGTATTTTGAATGCAGTGCTGCATTTTGCTAGAGATGTGAGGCATTTTGTGTGTGCAATTCTTTGATTTGTGTGTAAAGTTTTGAAAAAAAGAAGCAAAGTTTTGAAAATGTGTGTAAGCAGTTGAAAAAACTAATATATTAATATATTATTTTAATATATATTATATATTATATAATGTTTTAATTACTAAGTGTGTGTGTGTATATACAGTATATATATATATATATATATATATATATATATATTTCAATCACTTTAAACTTTTGCTTCTTTTAATAATTTTAAATAAAATAAAAATCGTATTTATAGGGTATATTATAATAGCTTTTTAATGTATTTTTATTTGAAATGTTAATGTGTTTTTTATCGTGCCTCTTCAATCACTTTGACCTTATTTCTAAAATGTTTAAAGCTTAAAATTGCCTAGAAATGTGTTTATTTTGAGCTTTTCTCCTACCTATTATGTGTAGGATTTGGCAATCCTGTTGTCGTTATCACTGCAGCATATTTTTTTGGACAAATACAGAAATAATATTAGTACAGCTACAGTGTTTTCCGTTCATAATTTAAAAACAGAAACACACGGGATACAAACTGATAATAACGTGCTGTTATTCAGGTCTTCTCAAAGAAATGAGTCTATAATGAGGGGCGGTGCGCATGCGCAGAGAAGGCCAGTTTGTTGCAGGAGCGCGTGGCGCTATTGCCCGTAACTAGTCAGCAGCGCATATCTGACAACCCACAGGAGAGCGGAGAGCAGCGGATTGCATTCTGCCAGTGTAATATCAACATTGGAAAGGACGCAGTCAAAATACAGTGAGTAGAATATTGTTAACGTATTATAATTCATCGGTATTCTTAATAATGTATGACATTAAATAGGCGCTGTGGCCTCTTTTGTCTGTGTATTATGTGTTTATGGCTCGAGCGTGTCTGGTGTTGCTCATATACGGCGGCGGGGCCTGCAGAACTATCACAATAATGGACCGTTTGTTCAGCGGACTCACATGTATTACATATCACTGCAGGCTCCAGTGGGCTGTTTTATAGAGCGAAACGCAATATTTATGTGCACATTTTGGCGTAAAGACAAACAAGAGCCATATCAGTGATAAACAGAGCGCGTTAAAGGGCCTGTGTGACTCCCATCATGTAAGATACTGTAATATAGTTTAAGACGTCGTTTGCAGAAAATGATAAATAAACATGAAACTAATGCATATGTTTGTAATAATAACGAATATTATTGACATGACATAGTAAAACGCGCATAGTTTATCCAACTGATGGTAAAACACGCAGGTGACCTGTCAATCTCTGCTTCATTTCTTCAGACCCAGCATAATACAATAGGCACCATTTTTTTTTATTATTATTAGGAAAAATACCATTTGTAGAGTGCCAATAATCGTTTTCAACCAGTTTTTGTCTTTTACTGATTCTTGAGGTGTGAGGGGAAAAAAATACAGTACCTGTCATTAGTTTAAAATATGCATAATACACGATTATATTATACAATTATAAAACCACCTGTTCTCTGACTATAAATTAATATTATAAGATTGAAGATTAATAAACTTAAGATTAAAGTGCTGTATGTAACAAATGTACAGTAGCCTATATTTAAAAGAAACATTATTATTATTATAAGAAGGGGTTAATAAAAATGCCTTGTTTATAAATACGTTTTCAAAGTTTTACCTCAAATTAAGCACATTAAGATATTTATGAAAACATATATAATCAGGTCATATCATATTAATCATATGATATTTTATGTATCACACCATTAAATATTTATATGATATTATAAACCATTATGACACACACAAATTTGTATTTCTAAAATACATAAACAAAAATGTAATTCTAAAAAAAGTTACATTTTAAATAATATACTATTATCTTGCAAAAGCAGAAAAAAAATGTCAACCCTGTTGACAATTCAATCCATGGAGCTGAAACCATTTTTTGTAGGTTTTTTTTGTCCCAGTACTCAAGAATCAGAGCTTTACAGACTTCATGCAGTGAAATTCACATATATTGTGTCTCTGTAGAAGATGTGTGTGTGTTTTACAGATGTGATTTCCATCACGCAGTCTGCTGGGCGCACCAGATGTGCATGGTTAACAACATCTCAGAAACACTTTAATCTGGATGGATTATCTTTGAAGGATTGAAATTTATAGTGTGATTACAATTTTACTCTGCAGTGATGCAGTGATAACTGAAGAACAGAATTGAATAACACTTCTGATTAACCAAATAGAAATAAATTTTTTCCAGACACAGTGACATATTCAAAGAATGTGTACGATACCATCTTTACCTGCTATCCTGTTGTCAACATGAAATTGTAAATAATATATATATATATATATATATATATATACTGTATATATATGAAGTCACAGATGCCATAAGATTTCAGGGTATTACAATGAAGCGCATTATGTACACAGTGACTTTGTTCTTCTTTTTTCTTTGTAGGAGATGGCAGTGAATGTATACTCCACATCAGTAACAATTGAGAACCTGAGCCGACATGACATGTTGGCATGGGTGAACGACTCCCTTCAGCTCACCTACACCAAAATAGAACAATTATGTTCAGGTGGGTCATACTGCCTTATTTCTCAAAGTGTTTCTGTCTTTTATGTCATGAATGGCACTAGCATACTCTTATTTCTGCTCCACTATAGATTATATAACACTACTGTTAATTTCACAATAAAAAGGCTTTTACTTTGCCTTTGATCATATATGCTAAGTGTTTGTATCTCTTCCAGTGTAATCAGTCAAATTAAAGCATTTACTTTGCACTTAACACTAATAAGGTTAACCAATCACATGCATGCATGTTGATCAAAGACGTTTTTCTTTATTGTTCCTCCATGCAATGAATGAGCTTTATTAACCCATGTTCTCTTTTGCTTTTTGTCCTCAGGGGCAGCTTATTGTCAGTTCATGGACATGTTGTTCCCAGGGTGTATTCTTTTAAAGAAAGTGAAATTTCAAGCAAAGCTGGAACATGAGTTTATACATAACTTCAAAGTACTCCAGGCAGCTTTCAAGAGGATGAACGTTGATAAAGTTAGTTGGTCCTTTGGTGTATTTGCTTCTATGTTCATCTCACAGTTTTATTATAAATTTGTCTTTAACTTTTTTTCTTTCTTTTTTTACTTTAAATTTTCACCTTTTACTCTTTACTCATTTAGAAACGAAAGCTTTCAGCTCATTTGTTAAAAAGTATAGTCTACAATGACAGTTGATTGATTGAAGGCATGTTTATTAATATAGCATGTTTCATACACAATGGTAATTCAAAATGCTTTACAGAAATGTGATTATTACTATTCAATGAAAAGTAAAAAAAAACAAAAACAAGTAAGGAATAATTTATTTAAAAGCTACTACCAAGGAAAGAACAATACTGAATGCATATCAATACAGAAATAAAATTATACTGTCACACAATGTTGTAGAGACAATGACAATGAAGGTAAAAGTTCCAAAATAAGACTTAATAATATCAACAGTTTGATCCAAACATAAACAGGCAAGTAACACAACCATAACACGGACGACACCAGACAGGCAACTGAACTAAACAGGGAGTATAAATAAGAAGGAACTAATGAGGTAATTAATGAGGACACAGGAACTTATGTTTTGAACAAAAAAAAGCAACCGGTAAGTATGAAAGTTAATGTATAATATGTAATTATTAATTAGGTTATAACAGTGTTTTTTGAACATTCGTTTTTATGAACCATCCATTTACCATGGTATGAAGCTAATTAATATTCAATATAACAGACATCTCTAATAAAAAATGAGAAGGAACTTTCATCAATATCAAACATCAGGCCTAGGTATTGCTTAACAGATCATTAGTTAAATAGTTATGAATGTAAATTAGTTATTAAAGTTTGGCTTATACAGTATATTGATGTAGTATGCATTATACAGTATGTTTGTATATTTTTGTTTATCAAATAATCAACCAGTCAGGGTGCTGGTTTTTGGTGTCGTTTGTCAGGTTATCTGAAAATATTACTTGAGACAAGGTGTCTAATGTTCTTTGTCAAATATGCGTTTGTGTTCTGTAAATTTCCTAGGATATGAGAAAAGATTTTAGCATAAAAATTACACCTCGAGCTTACAACTTAGTGTTATATTGATCTAATGATTTGTTTTCCTTTTGTTATCCAGATAATTCCTGTGGAAAAATTAGTGAAAGGAAAATTCCAGGACAACTTTGAATTCGTCCAGTGGTTTAAAAAATTCTTTGATGCCAATTATGACGCAAAAGAGTATGATCCCATTCAAGCTAGACAGGGCCAAGATGTGGCGCCTCCACCAAATCCAGGTGAACACTTTTCCCACAAACCCAAGAGAACTAGTCCCTCAGGTAACCTTGAGATTCTGCCGCCGCTTTGCTGCATTGATTGCTGAGCTTCTACTGATTGACAGCGTGCTCTGCAAAGCAGCTGGTTGTGCACGGGCCTCAGAATGATTTACTCCATGCCCAAGCTTTCATGAATGAGAAAACAATTAATTCAGCATTAAAACAGCTCTGTGTTGCTCTGTTAGTGCAGTACTAACAAACAGTTTTCCAAAATCAGTTCCACAGTGTTCTCTTGCTTGCTTAGTGTCACTTCGGTCAGTCCTATTCATCCCTCAGTTCCTCCAAATTCTTTATTGGTCATTTTAAAGTTATCGTCACCTGAAATAAGTTACAAAAAAACATGCCTTTTATTTTAACCCTCTATTGCATGCCTTATATTTTTAAACATCAGTTTGCTTGCATAAAAATGGACCTCATACTAAAATCAAAAACAAAACAAAAAGAAATGGGAGGCAGCGCTATGTGGTGATAGAAAGAAATAAGTTAATAAAAATAAAACAAAAAAAGTAGAAAAAATAGAACAAAAATAAAACAAACTGTAATATTACAGGAACTATTAGAACTGGCTTCTAATAGTTTCTAATAATTAATTTAGCTTTTTAAACACTGTAATGTAAATTCTAAAAAAATAAAATTATGTAAAAAAAAAAAATTGTAAATAAAGCAAAAAAGACACTACTGTTCAAAAGTTTGGGGTCAGTAAAAATACCTTTATTTTTATACATAATACTTTTATTTATAAATATGAAATGTTTCTAAACAGCATATTATAATGATTTCTGAAGGATCATGTGACACTAAAGACTGGAGTAATGGCTGCTGAAATTCAGTTTTGCCATAACTGGAATAATTTACATTTTTAAATATATTAAAATAGAAAACAGTTATTTTAAAGCCTTAGGTGGGAACTTTTGATCATTAGTGTACAAATTATTTATGAACTCTTTTAAAATGAATTTTATTCACTAATAAATGTAAATCGTATTTTTTATAGGTGAAAAAAAGGCTTTTTGAGGCAGAGCATAATGTTGAGCACAAGGATGTAGTGCTACCAAAAAACTACTTTAATTTTTTATTTTTTATTTAAAGTCATCCCTTCATTAACAACCCTTTATTGACATCTTTTGTGCTTGAAAAGTGATGAAAAAGGGTTACCCTGAGGCAAAATTGCGCAATAGAGGGTTAACAGCCAAGTACTGGAAACATAGAGTCCCCAGAGAGGTACAAAAGTGGTGTCCTAATTTGCTGACAATTGACTGCTTTTGTGATCGTTGGGGTGGATTGGGAATGTGACCTCCATTTAGTTTGTAGTCACATCTCGTCACACTTGCCTGACTTTGGTTAAACCTGCCAGATATAAAGTGGATAATAGGCTTTTGGAACAGTTAATGTTTGATCACACACAGGCTTAACCAAAGTAATGGGGTAACAAGCAGCCCATGCTGTAGCTTGTTAAAGGCTGATCTTACTGAACCTCTTCTGAAGCTCATTTTAGTGAATCATTAGCTCTGTTCAAAAACCTAGTAAGCTGCCACCTTAGACTGCATTTAAAGGAATAGTTCACCCAAACGTGAAAGTTTGCTGAAAACGTAATTGTCCTCAGGCCATTTAAGATGTAGAGGAGTTTGTTTCTTCAGCAGAATGTTAGCATTACGTTAAATTTAGAAATTTAGTATTACATCACAGGCTCACCAATGGATCCTCTGCAGTGAATGGGTACCATCAGAATGAGGGTCCAAACAGCAGATAAAAACATCAATGCACAACTTCATTCCAAAAATTAATATCTTGTGAAATGTTTGTGAAATGTAACAAATTCATAATTAAGATGTTTTTAACTTCAAACCGTTGCTTTCGGCTAGGTTCTCTATCCATAATATTGCTTTCTTCAGTGAAAAAGTTGTCTCGTCTGAATCAGGAGAGAAATATGCACAAGCTTAGTTTACAAGCAAAAACAGTTTTATACAAATACTGTATGTCAGTGGATTTTAATGTGAGAGGACAACAGGGGAATTACTTTTTCAGAGGAGGAAGCATTATTCAATTTCTCCAAATCTGTTCCGACCATGTATTGCATGAGGGTGAATTTTTCATTTTTGGGTGAATTATTTCTTTAAAGGCATCATAAGCTCACTCTTGAGGATGGTCAAAAGATTGGACAGAGAAATGATCTTATGCAATTCTGGCCAAAACTAGGTATTGTATGTTTATATACTGTATATGTGAAGGCAATTCCAAAATCCAATTTAGTAAGCTTCCTAAAAAAAAATAAAAATAAAAATAACTGTTCGCAGACAGAATTCAGAATTGACTGTTATTTGAGCTCTCATGAAGAGTTCTGTTTGTGGGATGTTTCAAATCAGTCACTTACAGTATGAGGGGCCATTTTGGCCCACTATGGTATGGAACAGAGCTTAATGTGTTTAAAGAAGCTGATAGAAATGACAAAAACCTAAAATTGCATGGATTAGTTTGTACATTTACTGAACAGATCCCATTTATTGTAACTACATGCAAAACATCTCCAATTTCAGGGCCTCAGAGAACATCGCCAACAGTACCTAAAAACATGCCCACACCACAGAGGGTGACCACCACCATAAGGAAGAACCCCACACATGCCCGAAATGGGGGAAGTGATGCTGAAATCATGGAGCTTAATCAACAGGTAGAGTCCCCGGGAGGGTAAGGAAGACTTACTCTACCTTGGAATACTTTCGATTGGAGATTGTAGAGAAATTGAATATAAAGAAAGTGTTGGCAGATTTTGCATTTGTCATTTTTATCTTTCTTTTCTCCCATTTTCCTCAGATCATTCCTTATCTTCTATCCCACCTATTTAAATAATTGCATTTTATTTGATATTCTTCTATGTCTGGATATAGATTGTCTTATCATAATAAGCATATTGACTTTTTCCCAGTAAGGAATGGTCATGTTCTGATGAGTAGTATCTTACAATTTGTTCTTTGTCTTTTGCTTTGTTTTTTTTAAGTTAATGGATCTGAAGTTAACCGTAGATGGTCTGGAGAAGGAGAGAGATTTCTACTTCAGCAAACTTCGAGACATTGAACTGGTCTGTCAAGAAAATGAGACTGAAAACCACCCCATTATCAGTAGGATAATTGACATTCTGTATGCCACAGAGGTACTGCCAATGACTTTTATATCTGTTTTGATAATTATTTGACTGATATATCTGTCAGGTTGATTCATAATTGCGATATCAATTTGTATCCACTGTTGACCGTGTTCAAGTGACCATTGTTCTGTGAATTTTTGCATACGAAATCCAAGTGGGTCTTGCAGATTTGCCATGTTAACCAACAGAAATGTGCTTGGTTTAAAAGTGACTTCTGTGTGAGTTGTGCTTCATATGTCGCAATGTTGCTGCTATTATAGCGGGGACCCGACACATATCACTGAGAGCTGCTATCAGTTATTTTTGGTAGATTATCAGTAGATTATCTATCTACTGACAATAGATAATTGATCCCTTTTTTGTCTGTGAAATTTTCCAAAGTTGACCACACCACCAGTCGGAGATGGAAATACCAGAGTTAAAATTTCCCATTTTAGATCTCAGAGTGTGCCTGATGGCATTAGAAGAGTTCTAATGCCAGTTATGGTTAAAACACTTGAAAACAGCTGTCAATTATTACATTATAAACTTAATTTTGTAGTATGGTCATTAGTCATCACCATCTTGGAAGTCAAATTTTGAGCACCATTCAAGTTCTAAGCTGTCTGAATTGCAGCAAAATCTATTGATAACTCTATATGAATAAATATGAAAAATGGCAAGCTGAGGCCTCAGAATCAGAATCAATTATTTGAAATGGACATGAAATGACTCTAGTCCTAATGCTATTGTCAGTGCTGCGTAGATTACTTACAAATTGTAGTCAGTTACTAATTACAGATTACATGATAAAAACTGTAGCTAGTAATGTAGTCTAGGTTACTTATTTTAGGTAATGTATTCTGATTACTTTTTAGATTACTTTTTTTTTTATCTTGTTTTAAACTTTCCAATAAACATACCATATTGATAAAAAAAAAAAAAAAGAAAATATATTCCTTAAAATATTTCTTTCTTTCTGTCTGTTTGTGAATATAGTCAAAGTTGAATGGTACACACTGTAGGATTTTTAGAAATAAATTTTTAAAAGAGGAAAAAAGAAGAATTGGGGAGAATCAAATTATGAATAATTTACTGCCATTGTGTGAATAATATGTAATCCATAAAAAAAGGAACTGTAATCTGATTATGAGCATTTTAAAATGTAATATACTCTTAATTACAAGTACTCCGTAATCCGGATTACATGTAATCAGTTACTACCCAGCACTGGCTATTGTTGCTACTGATGTTTTAATTAGAACCACTATGAAATTGTGACCTAAAGTTAAGAAAACTAGTCTAATGACACGCTCTTCAGGAATCATAATGTACAAATACAAAACTACATTATAATCACTGGAATATACAAAATGTTACTTAATTTTATACAGTGCAGTGTTGAATGCAGTATACCGTGATCTTCCTAAAAATGCTCATTTTTTATACAGGATGGCTTTGCACCACCAGAAGATGATGAAATAGATGAGCAGGCCCACTTGGACCAGGACGAATACTGAGCATCCTCCTCTTCCACATCATCATAACCCTTCATCATTTCCTCTCCCCACCACTTTGAATGACTCCCCTCTATCACACGCTGTTAATATCCTCTCAGTTTCCTACAAATGTATGGCTCACCATATATACTCTAACTCTTTGTCCTCCGACGCTGGTTTATGCCCTACATAGGTATCAACAAACACTCGCCGTCCTCACCCCCATCCAGACAGTAGCACCAACAATGACACATCCTAGCCGTCACAGCATGTTTTACATAACGACATAGAGAATGAACAAAAGAAAAGGTATCATAGATTGTGGGTAGCACAACAGACTGAAAAAAATTTACATATTGTGATGGGAAAGACCTTTTTAAAGAAAAAAGAAAATGAAGAAAAATGTTGCTTGGAATGCAGTTATTCGTTGTGAGATTTTCATACATATTTTCTTTGAGGTCTGTCTTGGCTCCATTCAGTATGAAATGATCAGTATCACACCATCCATCTGTGTCTCCAGCTTCAGTCTGCCTCTCTCACTGACTGTACGCTTTTAAAGGGATAGTTCACACAGAAATGTCTATTCTGTTATCAATTTCTTACCCACACGTTGTTCCAAACCTGTATGACTTTCCTTCATGGAATAAACGAAGCAGGTTGCTCATTTCCTTATGACTGCAGAAAATAGGGACTGAAGCTTTCAAGCTTGAAAAAGGACACAAATGAATGAACCATAAAAGTGGTCCAATACGATTCATACGCTATATTCCAAGTCTTAGAGCTTCTTACAAACTTCAAGTACACCTGTGACCAGGGCCCAGTTTTTCAAAAAATGTAATCTGGATCAAATTGATCCGGATTTGGAAATCCCATGTTTTGCTATCCAGGATCACCTGATCCATCTTACTTTTATGCCAGTTTTTTAAAGGAACATTGGATTGGATCACTGTGATCCAAATACCAAATTTCAGGATTACCAAATCCTGTTTACCAGAGCCTTAAATGGAACCAACAGTGTAGCCTACTGGCTTAGCAAAGAACAACAGGTAGGCAAAATACCGGTGGCCACAAATAGCCATTGTTTGTTTTAATTGTAAGAAACAGAAACACTGTAATAAACAGAAACATTTTACATTCCTTATTTTGTTACAATGTTAAATAACAAAACAAAAACAATACTATCCAATAGTAAAAAAATCATTTACAGGACAGATACCAGCTCTTTCCATCTCTGCCTTTAGGAGATGTATCTCCATCTGCACTTTTTTCTGCTGCAGTTGGGCAAGCAAGATTTGTTCTTTACCCAGTTCAATTTGTACTTCTGCTCTTTCGGTTTCCCATTTCAGAAGCAACTCATAGCTGTCACCATCCTGGTTTGTAGCTGAGGAACGTTTGCGTTTTCTTGTAGGAACGTCTTGGACTGTCTTCATTACATCCACTGGGGATCTATCTTCCTCCTCAATCACTGTAGTTAAGTCCAGGACAAACATTTCCTCTGCAGGAGAATTTTGCTCGCATTCTTCTGAAGTCCTAGTCTCTGTAATTGTGGCCTCTCCATCTGCTTATATGCCTTCAATGTCATGCAGAGCCTCTGATTTTTCTCCTCCTATGATTTCAAGGACCATATCAGTGAAATCACCCCTCTTATATGGCTTGTTACCTGTTTGGGGGTTCTTGGCTTCAGTAAGGTCTTTCGTTGTCTTGGCCCTAAGGTTCTTCCATAGCAACATAACCTGTTTTATGGTCCTCTTTTGGCCAGACCCCATGGTATTGACATGATTGGTTATGTCCTCCCAAATGTTGTGTTTTCCGTTTTTGGTCACTTCTCCACCCTTTGCAGATCATGCTTTATCTGTGGAGGAACAGTGCTTAATCACTCTGTGCTTTTACGCATGTGGGACTTTCTACCAAGTAATTGGTGACAATATGGGAGTGAGAAAAGCAACCGTGAGTAATGTGGTGAAGGCTATGTCAGTAGCACTGGGCAGTCTGATCAATCAATTTGTTTCCTTTCCCAAGGATGACCAGACAGCTCAGACTAAGCACAAGTTTTTTCAAATGGGGAACATGCCTAGCACTATTGGTGCTATTGATTGTACTCGTGCATATCCAAGCACCTTGTGAAAGGGAGTGGGAGTATGTCAATTGAAAGGGGAGGCACAGCATCAACATCCAACTTGTGGGCAATGCCGACTTCATAATAACCAACTGTGTTGTGAAATGGCCAGGGTCTGTTCATGATGCACGTATTCTAAGAGAAAGTGCACTATACAGAGAGCTTCAATCCCACCGACCAAATGGCATAGTATTGGGAGACCGTGCGTATCCACTCCTACCATGGCTAATGACCCCTTTTCCAGTTGCAAACACACCTGAGCAGGCACGCTTCAACTCCTCACATTGCAAAACAAGATGTGCCATTGAACGCTTAAATGGAGTCCTGAAGAGACGGTTTGCGTGTCTTAACTACTTGCGAGTACAACCCAAGGTGGCATGCAACATAATCCTTGCCTGTATTGTTTTGCATAACATCGCCACCAGGTGTCATGTCCCTCTTGATGACAATTGTGATGGACCTGAGCCTGATGTAGAACCAGAACAGCCGCCAATGTTCTTACCTAATGAAGGACACACTGGACATGCAATTAGAGATGCAATTGTGAGAAATTACTTTTAACTAGGCTACTGAATGACTGAGTATATTTGTTGTTGTCATTGCCATTAATATACTGTGGAATTATAGAGCTGTGAGCAACAGTGACATTTATTTGACAGCTGATAGCGTTGAGATTTTTTTGTTTGTTTGTTTGGTTTTGTTGTTTACCATATCTCATTAGATGTGACATGCTTCATATATGCTTCAAATATGAAGAAATGTATATATCATCAGTAAACACTGATTTTGTGATCATTCACTTAAAAAAAACAACTGATTTTATTTGGTTAGAAAAATCACAACTGAATCCACCCTTCTGATGGGATCAGGATAATCCTGTTTTTTTGGATCAAATAGATCCCAAACCGAGTTCAAAGTTTTGAATAACCCAAAGGGCAGGTTTGATCCAGATCAAATGTAAGATCGGATTACATGATCTGATCTTGGTTTGGAATCCCTCTTTTGCTTTTGAAAAACCCATTTCCAAGATTTGATCCAATCTGTGATCTGAAATCCCACTGGATTACTTTTGAACAACTGGGCCCAGGTGATCATTGAGTTGATGAAATTCTAATGAAAACACCAACAAGCGCTAGAGAAGATGTCAAGATTTTAAGTGAATAATGGAATAGAGCACACTTGTAAGATTTTTTTGAATCTCTATTGAAGATTGAAAGCTTTCACTGTACAACCAAAATATCATACATGTTTGGAACGGCATGAAGGTGAGTAAATAATGACAGAATTTAATTTTTAGATGAACTATCCCATTAAACAACTAAAAACAGCAGACACTATCAGGAAGAATCCCAGTAATATCTTATGAATCTTTTATATCTGCAAAGATATTGATGTCAAGTTTGTCAGTGACATGATGGAAATAAATGCTGAGCTATAGAGAGGACTTTTATACTTTTGAATGTGGATGAGCCAGTGACAGGGTAAATAACAAACAAACAAAAAATGACATGAAAATATGTCAGCGAGGCTTTAACATGTGTAAGACAACAGTAACTTATGGCACAGGTTGTTTTGCGTATACCCAGGGAGCATGTGAATGTTATACATTGACAATTGATGAGTGATTGTTTGAAAATCATATTTTTCTGTTGTGCTTGATTGTGACATTATTCTTACACCTCATAGACTGCAAAATAGAAACTCACCAAATGAATGGAAAGTGGTATTACCGTCATATTCAACATTGAGCATGAGGGACAGTACTCATTGTTACCGTGTACATTTTATTTTGGTGGCAATCAAACGTAATGATTGCCAGATGATCAGATCTGATACTGATCAGATGATGTCATGTCGAATTGAACTGACGTTTGCTGCTAGTGTTGCTGCATTTATGTGTTTTGTTTTGTATTTATTTCGCTCAGCTATTGAATAGCATATGGGCTGTGCATTAAATCATATCAGATTTGTAAAAGGCCCCGATCAAATTAAACAGAGATGCTAGATGTCATTGGTTTGAATCTACTTCTCTCTGTGTTGAGAACCTGAGTCATCTTGTATTGTCTCAGTATGGCCGTAATTGTGTTTGCATAAATTGTTTTGAGTAAATAAACATTCGTGAAAATAGATTTTGTCCATGCATTTCATAAAACTGCATATTAAAGGGTTAGTAAAATGTTACGGCATACAAAAACGTTCAGAATTTAATTCAAATAATGTGTCAATGAAATCAATCTTAATGAAAAATATAGTTTTGATTTTTTTTTTCTTTTATGACCTGGGGCCAGCTGTTCAAAAAGTTTAATCTGGATCAGAATGATCTGGATTTGGCAATCCCATGTTTTGCTATCCAGGTAACCCATTTTACGTTTGTGCCGGTTTTTCAAAGCAAAATTGGATTGGATCCCCCTGATCCAGATACACACTTTTTCAGATTTCCAAATCTGGATTACTAGTGCTCTACGGAGCCCCTTAAAGGACATGGTGATGGAAAAAAATAAAATAAAAATGAGATGGGGAAACAAATGCCAATGCTTTGCATTCTAGTTTTGCATTGTTTACACAAATAACTACTGAGTGATTCTATAATTGCAGGTGCATTTGGTGTCCGAAGTCATACATTTTTTCCCTGCTTTTTTCAAATGGTTATATTTTTAATTATTTTAATACTATCACACTTTGTGTTATTTAAAAGTCTTTTAATCATGATTTCATTAGTGCCATGTGCTCTTAGCATTTATGCTAGCAAGTGGAGTTTTTGGCAAAAAAATTAAGAAAATTGTCAATTCTGTTACTGTCAAACTCTGTTAACAAGGTAGAGTAACAATGCTGACAATGCGGTAACAGAATTGACAGTCCATCGGACAATTGTCAATTCTGTTACTTTATAATTCTGCTACTTAAAAGGTCAACTCTTTTCTATTTTCACAAAAAAACAATAAATTTGTTGTTTAAAATCCTAATAAACATTATTGATTTATTTTTGCACCCTTATAATATTTCAACAACATTTCTTTTTTTAATTAACTGGATATTGTATATAATACATTTTCAGATGAAAAATATTTGCTCCAAATGGATGATTCTGTGAAGACAGGTATTTTTTTTAATTTTAAAGGTATGCATAGGTGAAATATTATCTCAGTTTCAAGTGATGGAATGTAAGGACTGTTTGTCTAATGAAACAAGAAGGAGTTTTCCTGTTATGATTTATTGTTATTTCTACACATTGGCTAATTTGTCCGTAACATAGTTGACAAAAAATACCATAAATATATCTGTTTTTTTTTTAAATTAAAAGTAAAAAAGGAAGTAACTTGTGTTTGGCAAGCACTGAATTATTAAAATTAAATATGTTTTCAATAAGATACTGAAAAAGAAATCTGTTAGTGAAAAGTTTTTTTTCTTAACTTTATGCAATGCCAAATGTATCTCCAATTATAGAATCATCCTACTTCTGACTGGCCCATCCCTGATGATTGTGCCAATGTAGTTTACAATCAATGATTAAAAACTTTAAATTAAATATTTTTGTTTGATATTGACAGCTGTTTAGGGATATACATTACATGTTACAAATGTTGTATTGTTTTGACCAGTTTTAAAGTTTTATTACATATTTGTTCCCGAAATCCACCCTACCTCAGCTGTATAGGTTTTGAACGAATCATTAAAGTTAAGAAATGATTCTGGTGAGCTTCCTCTGGCTTCACTGAATAGTAGCCAATGGCATTCCAGTGTGGGCTAAATTTAGTATAAATGTAAATACTGAGAAAACAGTCGACTGTTTTTGGTTTCTATAAACAATATTAAGTTTGAAAAGAAAAAGCTGTGAAATGTGATAATTGAATATTTGTAAAAAAAATATTTTTCTTTATTATTATTATTATTATTATTATTTCTATCTTCTGATTTAGTTTATTTTCTAAAAACGTTTAATGGTTAAACTAGTCCCTTAACAGAT